TTTTTTTTTTTTTAAAAAGAAAACACGTTTCTTTGATGACGCAAATTTGTAATGCCGCTCGTGCCCTTTGGCTGCGGCTCTCTTCTTTCTGTGGGTCTCAGGTATTCGGTAACATCGCGCTAGATGGTGAGACTTCTATTACCAAGCACAACAATTTCCAAAGCTTCATACAAGGTCTGATGCTGCTTTTTCGGTAAGTAACGACAAACGTACAAGAACGAAAATCTATAGTTAACTGTCTACAGCTACTAAACTTGGCCGCACGCGACTATTCGGTGCAATATATACGTATTTGCGGTACGAACGAACGCGAAGTTGTCACGCTGTTCACCTGCGGCAAGCTATTTATATCTCACGAATTTTGTTACAATTTGCTAAATTACAAATGCAGAAGATCGAGATCTTTCGAGTTCTCTACGGCGATGAGAAGGCAGACTGCTCTTTCAAAAAGAGACGTCTAAAGTGACGAGGAACTAATTAATTGAGTGTCGTTTGTGTTTTATAAAGTTAATATATTATTTGATTAACGTATTATTTAGATATTGCAAATCTTGCGGAAATTGATTATTTATGTTTTGCATCGATTTACTTTTGTGAACGATTCCAAATCGATTTAGTATTTTTTTTTTTTATTATTATATTTAAGTTGATTTATTTTCTTGAACGATGTGGGAATCAATACAGATATAATTTAAGAAAAATAAATAACTCGAATAGTTTTTAAAATATAACCTATTTTCGCACAAACCTCTCAATTATTATAGCGAACGTCGCGGAGTCTTTTAATAGCTTGATTCGTGTATTATTTTCGAATTTATGTTAAGAGCAGACCTTTTCGCTTTTCACGCGATGTTAACTATTACGAAAATGCACTGAAATCTAGCACAAAAGCAGAATCAGGCTAAACGACACGGCATATTCAAAGCGAACAAGATAACACAGCCTCGTGTAGATTTGAGTTCGCCATTAGAAATTCGTAGAATCTAAGTCGCTTTTGATGTTGCATTTAAGTATCAAGCGTATGCATGCCGCGCGCTTTCGCGAGGATTTAGTTTAACTATTAAATTTTACTTGCCTCTACCTCACACACATAAAGCAAGCAAAATTACAAATATTCATTAAGAGATTGTACTAATAGATCAAGAGAGATTGAAGTAACACTTTTCAACACTCATTAATATAATTAAAATACATCTAGTTTCTCTACGATAATCTATTTAAATATTGTACGTGAATTTAGATGTAATTTTATTTACAAATAACTGAGAGATTATTGCATAACAATGATTGAAAATCTAACACATGCTGCAAAAGCGCTCGTAGCTTGCTGGAAATATTTGCATGGGATTTTTGCTGGCTAATCTTTTTTTCGCGATTGCAAGAAGACATGTTTCAAATCTATTTAACTTGCGAGAGAAAATCTGCATGTGCGATTCGGAGAACATGATCGCCGCTTGAGCGCAAACAGCGTAGGTCGCTGAAGTGAAATGTCCGCAGTGAAATCTGTCGTTCCGTCGCGGTGAGATCGTCAGTAGCGCTGTGAAGGAATGAATTTTTTCTCTAGGTGTGCCACGGGCGAGGCCTGGCCGAACATAATGTTGTCCTGCGTAAAGGGCCGACCCTGCGACGCGAAGGCCGGCAAGCAGGAGCCGGAAGGTTGCGGATCCAACATCGCCTACGCCTACTTCGTGTCGTTCATCTTCTTTTGCTCGTTTCTCATGTTGAATCTCTTCGTCGCCGTCATCATGGACAACTTCGATTACCTCACGCGCGACTCCTCGATCCTAGGCGCTCATCATCTCGACGAGTTCGTCCGGATCTGGGCCGAATACGATCCGAACGCAACCGGCAAGATTCATTATACGGAGATGTACGACATGTTGAAGAACATGGATCCGCCGTTGGGGTTTGGCAACAAGTGTCCGAATCGTCTCGCGTACAAGAAGCTCATCCGCATGAACATGCCGGTCGACGATGACGGCAAGGTGAATTTCACCACCACGCTGTTTGCCCTGATCCGTGAAAATCTCAGCATAAAGATGCGATGCGGTGAGTCCGTCCGAGTTCAAGTAAAATAAATGTCTCGATCGAACATCTAAATGGCCGGACATTCAGGAAATAAATCATTATTTTAGATATGTAAATATTAATTTGACGCAACAATTCTGAATATTATTTAAGATACGTATTTTTTAATATATTTTGAGAAATATTAATTTCTAACTTTATACATATATACAGAAACACTTGATTGTCATTATTCTATAATAAATGTCCGGTCAGTAAAACACTTGTTCGATTATTGAGACACTTATCTCATGGAAAAAAAATATAAACTTTAATATAATTAAGTACACAATTATTAAAATAATTTTGAATTTGCTCCCGTAGCCGACGAAATGAATCAAGCCAATGAAGAATTGCGGGACACGGTTCGAAGTATCTGGCCCTTGCAGGCCAAGAAAATGTTGGATCTTTTGATACCTAGGAATGAAGGTAAGTTTGTTTCTGTTCTCGAGCAGGCCCGTCTTGCAACGTATCTAATCGTCGCGCGACGGCTTGCCTTCTTCCAGAGCTGAGCAGAAACAAGATGACCGTGGGTAAGATATATGTCTGCCTTTTGATACTGGAAAGTTGGCGGTCGACGAGGTTTGGTCAACTAAAGTCTGCTGAACAGGTGAGCGTTCTTTGTCGAACAAAAATTTGTGTAATTTTCATAAGAACAACGACAGATTCTGAAGAAATGTAATCTCTCAATAAGTTTTTTTTCTTCTCGAGATCCTTCAATTACGATTCTGTTGCTTCGATTCAACACGTTTACGTACATATCGATTTGACGACTAATCGATACGTACGTTTGCAAATAAAGAGATTTCAGCTATTGTGCGAGAAGGTCTTTTGCAACACTTGCTGTACAAAAAAGAAGAAGAAGAATCGAAATTGCTGATCTCGGGATTGGGAATGAAATTCGAACGGGTGTTTGGCTTCTTCGTGAATAGAAACATTTTTACGCGTAATGAAAATCTTAAATAGAGAATTTTGTTCTCGGAAAAATTTTTTTCACATATGTGTAGTTAGTCTCGAGCTTTCGAAGTTTTAGTGTCGTTACGAAACTTTCTCGAGTATAGAAATATAGAGATAGATAGACACTCGAGTTATATAATGTAGATTTATATTTAGACTCTTAAATCACAGATATATATATATAAAACTCGTAGTCTCTCAATGTCTAATAAATAGAGAATAAGAGATTGATTTGCAAGAAAATTTTTTGAGGAATAAAAACTGAAGAACATACGAAAGAGAATACACTTTTGCAGCCCCAGTTTAATGAGACTACAAAAAAAAAAGTAGAACTGGTGTTTAGTTGTTTAAAGTTAGAAAATATATATATATGTAGAGAAACAGTTGGATGCGATCTGATTCGAACGTTAAAATTTAAAGTTTGTTCAAGTAATTAAATAATATAGAATTATTCATCGATCTATCGATCTGTTAATACTAAAATGTTTTTTGTAAATTATTTATTAATGTAAATTGTCATTTTGCAAAACTTTGAATAGTGACATTCTCTTTTTTTAGAAGATTAACTTTAATTTTGTTAAAAACTTGTGATTTTTTGATGACAATTGATAGATCGATTATTTCTGAAAATAATAACATTTATCTGTCATAGATAGTTTTTTTAAAAAATCTTAATGAATTTTAATTAGAATATTAGATGTAATTAGGATACAATTTTTATTATTTTTTTTACGGGATAACTAGAACGAGAGAATAATCACAAAAAAAAGTTTTTAAAAAAGAAACTCAAAACTAGTGTGACATTAAACTTGTGCCTCTCATCTATATAAATTTTATAATTTAAATATATAACCGAACCAAAAAAGAAAATTCACGCAACTTTCAATCATCTCCCTGTGTCTTTTTTCTTTGTTTTCCAGAACGATAACGATCTTATCGATAACGATAATGCTGGGCAAAGTCCTGCGGCCCAGGCGGTAGTACTTACTTTTTCTCTTACTTATTATTATCTTCTCTTGATACTGTTTTGTTTTATTTTGGCTGTACGATTTCGTTCGAATTCTAACACTCGTCTTGTGTTAAGTGCGTACTGCAAAAGTTTCCCCGATCAAGTTACGATAAACATATCTTCTCTCGCTGAGATCTTTCTGAAAATACTTCTCGTTGCTTCATTACAGAAAAAAGGGTCTTTTGCAGCAGACGCCTTACTTTGTTTTTTTTTTTTACAATAACACGTTTTACACACACTAAATTTTCTCTCTGATACTATCTGTACACATATTATCCAGGGGCACATTGTGACACTTTATGGGGAACTAACAGCACATTAATTAAAGCGTTTCACTTAAATTCCCGACGTTCATTCAGTCTCGAAAATGTCTATAAATGGAGAAAGAGAGCGATTTAATTTTGAGAGATTATTTTTTTTTATTATTACTCTTTTATATAAATAATAATCTAGTTTTTCATACGCTCTCTGTTTCTTTCTCGTGCATATTTAAATGAATCGTTTCATCTTTTTGTTTTTGTGTATGTAAATAAAACCTGGGTATTTTATACACAATATGATAAGGTTATTGTGCCTCTGGTACGTGTTTTTCTTACACTTGACACACAATTTTTCTCACCATTCTTTACACACCCATACGTTTACTTTTAGTCTATCTTTTGTTTGTGTAAAGTAGCTTTTTATGTTTATCACTATAAATTTACCACACATTTTTGGACGCGTAGCGAAACAGTCATTTCCGATTTCTGGAAGTAACAAAACAACAAGCTTTTTTCTTAATACCGAGAATCTAAAGTGTGTAACAAAAACAACGTAAACTATATTACGTGTAAAAAGATGAGATTTTTTTTTATTTTTCAAAGATTGTATAATAAAATCTACAATATATCGAAACGTCAGTGTAGATACAAAAATGTAATAACAGTAATTAATTATATAAATTATGTTTATATTAAAAGCGATGGCTGTTCCGCGTACGACGAGATAACAAAGCAATACACTTTAGTCTTACTTAGGCACTTATGTATCACGTTAGAAACGTAATATCTAATAGATCTTTTACCAGGCTCAATAAACTAGTCTTTAGATAACTAGTTTTTAGTGGCCTTTCTTTGCGGAGAGAGATTTCCTTTCTTTTTCTAATCGCACGTTTCCTATTTCTCAAATTAGTTTAGGATGATGCCAAAAAGAAAAAATAGCTCTCTCTCTCTCTCTCTCTCTCTCTCTCTCACTTTCCATATATAATCTATATATCACACGCAAAAAATAAAAAAACAAAACAAAAAAACAAAAAGAGAAAACGATCTCTTTTCTGATTATCAGAGCGAGGTCTCGTGCGGACCTCTCGCGGTGATATATACGATTGTAATACGTTATCAGAACTGTTTTAGTCATCGTGTTGTTGCCGACACGTGGGTAACACGTGGCTACGTACGCACGTGTACGCGCGTGTAGATAATATCGGCTCTTTGTCGACAAGGCAATACGATATAGCTGTGTGTAAGTAAATCACCTCATAGAGCACCGTTTCTCGAACCCTATCTTAGTGCGAGAAGTAGTCCGACGAGCCGATCGATTCTCGACCGTATATATATATATATATATACAATATAGTTCGCCTTTTGCCTCAATTTACAATAATAGCCTCTTTTATTAGAAAACACACTTTTCTCTAGTTAAGCTACGCCTTTTTTCGATTAATTGAACACATTAGTTGACGACATAGCCGATCCTTATAGAGGTCGTAACGTAGAAACTCTCTTTCTTTTTATATATTCTGCCGGATTGTCATTTTTTGCTCAAGATCGTTTTTTCGGCAGATCATCTCTTTTTTACTTTATTTAGTTTAATGCGAGCTCTTAGTACAAATTGAAGTTGTCATAAAGCGATTTAACTTCGCGCTTCTTCTGCGAGCGCACGAGATTTAAGTCGACCAGAAAACTGGCGCTACGCAATCCGGGATTATCTACTATCTAAGCAAAGCAACAGAGATGAAAAAAAAAAAAAATTTATCAGTTTTGTTTTTTAGATAATAGATAATCCTGGTTTTGGTTCTCATAGCGCGAAGTTAATGCAACGTATTATGATTCGTTGATACGCTCCTGCTAGCTAATGCTGAAAAGATACTTTCTTCTTGTTTCTTACGAATTTTCTACCGCCAGTAGTGTAGAGGAGAACATACTTTAGGCACTTTTTGACCAGTGATTAAAAAACAGTAGTCTCGTAGTCTTGCCCGAACTTACCCAATTCGCTTTCTACTAGAACAGTTTTCCGCTTTCTACTCGAGCAATTTTTCGCTCTTACACGTCACATGATTATTATAACACTTTATATTATTATCTATATACGTCACATTATTTACCACACTCTTTTTATATATATATTTTTTGTGTACCAAATATTTAATCAACCAGTAATTAGTTTATATCGTGATATGAGCCAAATACCTTTCACTAATAATCTGATTTGTTTTTTAAAAAAGAAATAAGTTATTTTCTAGAAATATATCGATGAGCTTCCCGTAAATCGCTAAAATCGTGATGATCAACCGGTCACTTTCAATGTGTTTACGAAGAAAAGATTTGTAATAATATCGATAAATCGCGTTCTTTCTCTCTTTTTCTCTCGTGATTTGTAGCTCGATAGACGAATTAAGAACGATCTGTTGGCATCTTTTGCATTCTATAAGTGTCTATCGATTTTAGATACAGATCTTGTTTTACAGATTTAGAAAGCACTTAACAAAAGTCACCGACGTATGCGAGGTATCCCAAAACTAATTGAAGTTTACACGTTTTTGAACTGATAATTTTAGTTTCTCAACAACACAAAAATTTAGTCTCAACATTTTGATTAAAAATTGGAAAAAAGATATTGCGAACTGTATCTGAAGAAGAATAAGAATCATTGCGATTGTTATAACAGCTCGTCGTAACGATTTTGGGACATCTCACTTACAGCGGCATGTTCTGGACTTCCTCATATAACCTTGGAATAAACTATATTTCTACTCAAACCCGTTTGTTTTGCATACCAAGCAGCAGAGTTTCGATTTTTGCCCACGATTATTTGGCATATTTGTATGATCTTTCGCGGAGTGAATTATTCGTGTTCTATACACCTCGCACAGAGATAAAAGATCTTCTTTCCAAACTGTTTTCACGCAACTAATGCGCACAAAAGTTTCTTGATAAATCCTAATGGAAGATTTAAAACATGCGATTGTGGGTAGAACATTGAGAACTTCACCCGTTTTGTGCATGCTGACAAACGATTGCATTTTTGCAGTATATTTCTGAAACGATTAACCGAGTCTATCTTTTTATTAACGCATTTGTGTAACACGTGGGGAAAAGGAGAATATAACATTTATATACTTTTTCTTTTTCTTCTGTTTTTTCTTTTTTTTTTTTTTTTTTGTAACATGTAACAGTCTCGATCAACATATACAGGCTTTGCGACGCAATACACTCTTACGAAGAATTGCCCCGCTGCAAAATACCGTTTGCGCTATGTACTATTTTTCGCAATTTTCGCATCGCACACGTTCTCTCTCGAGCGTACATACTATTTATTATATATATATACATAAGTAGTTCGAGACAAAAGAATCCATCGTATAAGACCGACACAGATATTAAAAAATGCACCATCACGATTTGCCTATATCTTTTCTCTATAGCATGGCCGCCTTTTTACTCTGAAAATTTTTTCTCACCGTTGTTTTTACACTATATTACTTGATTCTCTCGACTCTCTTTTGAATGCTTTCCGACTTTTACATTAAGCGTCTCGCATTTCTACCACGATTTCTCGAGAGATACCATCGATACAAGAGGTAACGCTAAGAAAAAGCCTGTATGTGCCTGTACATATATATTATAGTTTTACTTGCGTACTCTGCTAGGGAATTTGAGAAAAAAAAACAGATTGAAGAAATAGAAAGCGTAAAAAGTAAAAAAAAAAAAAAAAAATTATTGATCGAGAACAACGAGACTCCTGTCGATCAGCTCTGATAGCCCGGTGTGCTTTCGCACGTTTCGCAATTTAGCCATCGGCCTTCTACAACTGCCTGCTCGACATGGCGGCGGTAAATCACACCGGAAATAATCACGGAACTGGAAGTAGGGCAAACAGCCTCGAACCGGTGATCCGACCGGCCGCGGAGGTGAAGCACGAACGACACAAAGATGATCACAGGGATGAGGAGGATGGGACCATGGGTGTTCTCGCAGCCGCCGAGCACAGACGTCAGCGTAGCATCAGGTAACAAAATTTCCCATTCAAGATAAGATTAAAATGTGTTCTTAATGTTTTATGAAAGATATTTCTGTAAAGACAATTCAAAATTTTCGCGTTATTTATTTAGTCATTGCTTTTTTGTTGATTGAGTCATTCGATATATTTGTTAAGTTACAACTAATATATTTGAGTGTACATTAGCGGATGGCAATTGTTCTGATTTCAGAAATAAAAAGGTGAACTGGAAGATGTCTCACCAGTACGATATACTAGGCAGCAGCGGAGAGAGTAGCCAGGGAGGGGGTGGGTCTGGGGTTGTACTCGTAGTTAATGGCGAGGATCGCGCCCCCGAGCTAGAGCCGTTGCTGGCCGAAGTGCCCTCCCAGCGGGATGATCAAAACAACTACTACCACGACCATCACCATCACGATCAATACTACTACGATACCGACAATGATCAATACTATGACCATCACCAATACTACCACCATCACCATCACCATCATGATCATCATGACTACCGACCACCCTCGTACTACCAACACCAGAACACCTACGCACCTCGCTCCTCGATCCGTTACCACAAGGTGTCGACTCGATCCAAGCTCGAAAACAGAAAAGAGAAGACTTTCCTCTCGGTTGTCCTTCCCTGCCCTTTTGACCCCCCCTCGATGGAAGTAGAACGCGATGATAGAAAGCCGGAAGTTGTCCCGCCTGCGTTGTCTCGCTCGAGATCGAATCGCGACCCGGTCAACACTCGTGTACAAGACACATTTAGGCTATGTTAGTTGCATAGTAGTTGCAAGATGTTTCTGAATCGAGAAATATATGTTGAAGTTTTCCTCGAAACTTTTATCTCTTCGAATTTCAAATAACGTTATTTTTGGAAGAAGAGGCTGTAGTTACACAGAGATTAAACGCAGCTTGTCAATTCTTTTAAAAAGATTGTCTCTGTAATTATTAAAAAATTGTTGTATTTCGAAGTTAATTATTTTTTTTAAATATTAACAAGATGTTCTAAAATTGTGGTGTTGTATCAAAGTCGAAAAACGAATTTAAGAACATCCAGAAACATCCTGCACGTAAATAAATATATGATGTAGATTATTTTACTGTGCCTAAAAATATCTCTAGTTTTAGGACCGTTGTTTCTTAAATTTTCTGTCGAGAGATACATCAATCTAAACTATAATCTTTTTTTTATATCACGTCAAAATGTCATTTTAGAAGATAATTCCTCTACTTTTAGAAGATATGAAATTCCTCTACAGAAGAACTCTTGTATCATATAACATCTACAAACGAATGTGAGAGAAACAAAACCCTTAGAAACGTCATAATATAGAACAATCTTAGATTTCGAAGAAACAGTGAAATTCTCGCTAGCTCAATTGGAGAAGCACTATAGTGTCTAGATTAGATTAGGATAAACTGTCGTAGAGAGTTTTGATAGACGTTTATCCACCGAATCCCTATCAATTTCTTCTTTTTTCCACAGTCCCAGAAAAAAAAAAAAAAACCAATTTAACAAAAATTGCAGTCACGGATCGAAAAGTATTGCGCGTGATGTCGTGATCCTCATAATAGCGCTCAAAATCGATTCGCAGTGTGTAGTTGCGTCTAACCAGATCGCGTGTCACTTGCTTGTTTTCCGCGCGCTTTTACTGCTCGCCGGAAAACACGCCGAGTCGATGTTGAGCGTGTTAGTGCTCCTGTAAATAATAACATATTTACGATGCCTAGAAGCACACAAACACACACACTAGCGCAAAAAATATCATATAGAAAAATAGTCACGTGTCACACCCAATCACGCTCTTTAGCGACTTCTCGTGTCTCGGATGCATAGAACAGTTTCCCACCCCCTTGTCCCCTTGCTGCTTTCGACCTTATATAGGAATATGCTAGAGGAACGAAGCAGTTACCTTTGCCAACTGCCTCGTTCTCCTCTGTCGTATCATGTTTCTATCTTGATTCTTTGTGTCCACGTTCCGGTAAGTAAGCGGCACTCGCGCGAGAGAGGCAGATTCTTTGCCTCGGATCTCTCTTCCTCTTTTTTTTTTTTTTTCTAACCGTGCGATCGAAAATTCACTTGACGAGCATGTGCATGCGATTGGAGATTTTTTTCTAACTGCATGTCGTTTGACACACACGTATACACATGTGTATGTATCTCTATGTGTGTGTGTACTACTCTTCTTCCGCCTTATATCAATCTCCTATTTTTTCTTTCTGCGAGGCTAAGTTTAACTTCGTTAAAAGACAAAAAAAAGCATACGCTGAAAATCGACAAAATGAAGCAGATCGTACACGTCGAATCGACAAAATTTTCTCTTCCTTCCTCTGTGCTTTTCTATGTAATCATTTTAATTAATAATAAGAGAAGCATCTTTCTCATTCAATAATTGTAATATGAATTATTCATATAGAGTTTGCTAATGTTATTGATTTTTTAATGAAATATACGATATTATACATATATATATAATCAATTATTACATATATATTATATGTATTGTATATGTATGATCAGTTAGTACTTAATAATTTCAATTACCTCGATTTTTGATATTTTTACGTGAAGTTAATAATAAATCTGACATTTCGCACGAGAGAATGTTAAATAAATCGACTCGAATGTGCGTCCGCTTTTGACATCCGGAGAGACAAAAGGCATCTCGAATTACGATAGCTTCGGTACGCGCGTGCAAATCGACAGCGCAGTATTGCTAAAGACAAAGAACCGGCAACACCCCGACTCCCCCTTCGATTCCTGATTCCGGCATCGAATTACACGATCGCACTGCTAACTCGCAAGTTTGTTTTCCGTTTAGGAGCTGCAAGACGTCGTACCGTCCGACTCGCGTGCCGGTAGTCTCGAGAGTCTCACCCATCCCGGCGACAGAATCCTTCGTCCGCATCATCCCTCAGCACCTCCCCCTAGGCGTTCGCGATCGCCAAGTATAAGGTATTGCATGTGGAATTTAAAGGAAAAAAGACGGCAATCTTTGCGGTCGAAGCGAACTAATTGCACAATGTCAATAACGAATTGAAATTTTTGTATGATTCTTATTTTATTGTCACACTTTGCAGAAGACACTCGCCAGTAATGCCTAGATCGCCATCGCCAAGGCGACACGGTCGATACGACCATCACGGTCATTACCACGAAGGACCAGGGTTTAGCGACACCGTTAGCAATGTCGTCGAGATACAAAGGCACACTCATCATTCCCACCCGTCACAGTATAATCATCGGCATAGGATACGAGGTACGATACGACGTACCGGCGGTAATTCCGGCCAGCGAAAGCCATGACGGTGCAACGATAAGTCTTTTTCACGAAGCCACAATCGCGAACTTTGTTTCGTATGAATCATCCCCAACCGGTTCTTTTTTTCTCTTTCTCTCTCTTTCTCTTTCTCTCTCTCTTTCTCTCTCTCTCTCTCTCGCTCTCTCTCTCCCCCCTTTTCTCTCTTCTTCTCTCTATCTCTCGTTGTTTTTTATCAGCCTGGAGCTACGAACACAGCATCTCTATCTATACCTGTACTATTTATTCACCACATATATCACTCTGATACCTTCATTCTTGGTGTTATATTTTTCTATTATAATTATTATTAATTTTATACATATATATATATATATAATATATATTATATATCTTCTCATAACCGGCTTGGTGATATGTCTTCGATAATTTTCGAGTTTGTTAAATACAGTATTTTTATATGTATTTATATATTTATATATATATGTGTGTGTGCATACACACGCATATATATAATATTGTTTTTTTATTAATTTGCTTTGTCAATCAATTTGAGAATTGGAAATGAAAAATTTTGTGGATTTGAATAATGTCTGAGACGCTTATAGATTGTTTGTGCGACGATTATTTAGAGCGACGAAAGCAACGAAAGAAAGTTCGTGGTTGTGGTGTTTATAAGAACATGGATGTTGCTATAAGTGGTTTTATTCGTAAGAGGCAGAAAAGCTCAGTGTGATACTCGATGTAATACGTTTCTTCGTTTTGTTCTGTTATGCGCCTACACAGACTATTACGACCACTGCGACTATTACGACGATGGTAATTTCTTTCGCAACTCTCTCCTCTTCTTCATTCCCTTGTCCACGATGCAATTATATATAATGTTACTACATATAATCGATACGATCGTTTGGCTTTCACCGTTTCTTCGTTCCTGTTTGCAATATCACACGATTATATACACACACAGAAGAGACAGCTGATCGAAACACTGAATCGAACACAGTAGATGAATTTCTGAACAGCCTTATGCGCATTACACCAACACGCGCCAATGTTTTACACATACACATACACACATATACACTCACATACAGATACACGTCACAAACGTGTTTCTTTTCTTTTTGTTTGTCACTTGATGCTTTTTATTATTAGAGATATACACGCTATATCGAGATTGTCAACTAGCTCTAGCGATTGATTAAAATAACGACTGACAATTTAGATCTCATTAGTTTATTTTTTATTGCAATTCATTGAAGTATCTTCATAACAGTTCATTTTCGTACAAACCTGTTCTCATTTTACGGACGTGATGCGTATGATGATTAGAAGGATGCAATTTGCGTACTTGATCATACATAGTTCAAACAAAAGAAAAATTTTTTTTACGCACGGGTAATTAGTTTTACAAATTGATTTTTTTGAAATATAGTTTTTTACACAATGCAACATTGGTAAATACAGCTCGTTTGCAAAAAAACATTTAGAGAATTAGACGGTTTTGATTGAAGAATCACTGAGAGATCGATGATGCACCACCTGTAGTAGAATTTAGTATTGTAGAATGCGCATGCTCTCTACGGTAGATATCTTCTGAAACTCTCGAACACTTTAATATTTTTAGAGCACCGATATCAATTTAACATATATGTGTTTGCACCATTGGTTTAAACTAGTTCACATTAATTAAACACAAAACGTCACGAGCATGTTTTATTAATCTTCTCTATATCAAAGACTAATTTTAATTAAAACGCACATACCCATTCGACGTTTTTCTCGGTAGACTCCAAAACTTTCATCACAAAAACTTGCGGTAATGAATTAAAAAAAAAATTTTTTAAATTAAAAAAAAATGCAGAAGTGGAGAAAATTTCATGACATATTCTATCAAGTTAAGTTTTCATTGTCATATTTTTTTATATAGTCAATATTCTTTGAAACAAAAATTTAATTAGTTCTATAGAAAGTTCATCGAGTTTTAGTAAAGTTACACAGTTACATTTCTACGATTACACTATTAGTTTGTTAGTTTTGAATCTGTCAAAAAAAGAAAGAGTATCGAGTTTTTCGACTTTCGTACAGAAACCGATTAATCAAACCACTAGATCGACTTTACTACGGTCCCGTTAATTGAATAATCGAGAGTATTGAAATTACACTAAAATCTAAGAATTCTAACGGTTGTTGTCAAAAAAAAAAAAAAAAAAACAACCTTACTGCAACGCTTCTGATTTACTCGTCGAGCGACCTTTGTCGTATGCCAAGATACCCTACCTGTACTGATCGTGTTTACCCTTTAATAAACGCGTGAGGAAGCGTTTAGATCGAGAGGTCTTTAACAGGCGTGTTTATCAGGTCCGTGGAGTGCCTCGACGAGTCCGGCCAGATCGCCGAGTCCGGTTCATCGGATCGATCGCGGCCATTACGGCACGACCAGTCTAGAACAGCGTTCGCGGAGCCCGAGCCCGATCGGCGGTCGTCCGCATCATCATCGTCACCATCATCATCCGCATCAACACAGTTATCCGGTGCTGGTTACGAGGAGGGGCCAGGGTCGTCGGCTGCCACCGACGCCGAACAAGCCGTCGACCCTGCAGCTGAAACCGGCCAACATCAACTTTCCCAAACTAAACGCCTCGCCCACTCACGGGCCGCACGGTCCGCCGCACGTGCCGGTCGGACCGGGCCACGTGATGCAGCATCCGCATCCGGCACCGCATATGCCGCCGCCCAGCATGCAGCCGAGCTATCATCCGTTGAGCTTCGAGCAGGCTGTTGCGATGGGCCGCGGTGGTCGCGTGCTGCCCAGCCCAGTGCCCAATGGCTACAAGCCGCAACCACAGTCCAAACAGAGAGCACCTAGGTAAGGAATTACCTTCTATTGCCGTTTCTTCACGATTCATTCTACAATCTATCTTCTCGTTTTGTTTAATCTCACGCTGAATAACGATAATATGAAGCGATGCGATTTTTCTGAGCAGATCGAGGCACTCAGACAGTGACGAGGACGATTGGTGCTAGCCAAAGTGGGACCCTGGACGGTGGTCCGGTGACGTGGACGCCCCCAGGCGTCTTAGAGTTTGCGCGTGATAGTCGTCCACAAGTGAGGACGCGTTGATTTCGATGTGAAGGCAAACCGGAAGTGCCGCAGTCGACGAGCTCGAAGCCACGAGGAGCTTCCTCCAAGTCTCGATCGTCCGGGAACGATACCATCCGATGGAGCGGTTCCACGGCATTGCGGTATGTTCCGAAAGGGGTCTAAAGCGAAGTTGGACGGGGAAGACGGAGGCGGAGAGAGATTCGAACTGATATCGAGGGCTGAACACGGCGACCGAACAGGGTCAGCAAATACACACACAAGGGAGATCGATGTGCAATCTTTTCATACGTACGACGTCGTCTTTGCACAAATACCGCAAATACGCTTTGTTCTACGTATGGACATATGTATCCCACGAACGGACGAGATGCAATCAAACGGCTGAGTTCAAATTCAATGAAGAATTCCGAAAATTCGAAGCGAAAGAACTCGGCTATATCGAAGCAAAATCGCCTGGTGCGATTTCTTCAACAAAAAAACAAAAAAACAAAAAAACAAAAAAACAAAAAAAAAAAAAGAAAAAAAGCGACAAGATACGTTTCATCCGATCGAGGACGTTTTTACGACGGCGTAAACGGCGATCGGCGAAAACGATCGAGCGAAATCTCTCGAGATCGCGAGCGACAGCTAATGTCGAGAGAGATAAGTGGTAATAATTAAACAGTGTGAAACACATCGTGCGCGAGACAAAGGAATCCGAGCGGACGTTTCGAAAGTAGCTTCGGACCCATCTCCGACTGTATCGCACGCGAGTTTAGTATTTTAATCTTCCCCTCACCTCGATCGAACGAGGATTGTCGGACGGGGAAGATCTACTTTTTATACGATTTTCCGGAGGAGAGATTCAGCTGAGGCTGTGATCACCACAACCAAACGTTCTCTTACGTGCGTGAGTGTGTTTGTATGTTACGTGTGTGTAATTTTTTTGCGCGTGTGTATGTAAAACTCCCCTTCCCCCACGATTTGTCGAAAAATCGCGCTTGACGTACCGCGAATCGTTTCATCTCCGATGATTAGCGATGATATTAGCGATGTTAGATTGTTTAACGACGACGCCGATAAGAGGAGAAAAATACGGATTTAATAAAACTGAAAAAAACGAATAGATAGATGAGCGTGATAAAGCGGATGTGTTCCCTGATAAATCGTTTGTGAAAAGAATTGAAATCGAAGTAAAAAATATATAAACTAAAGAGTGTATAGGCCAAAGAAACGTAACCGAGACACTCGAAGTTGCTTTACTGAGATTTGTGCTTTATTTCGTGCTGTTAAGAAGGTAGCGCAAAAACAAAAACCGTTCAAATCAAACGCGTCACATATATAGATTTCAAAAAGTAGAAGTCGCTACGAGAAATGCGCGAGAACTGCCGCCACAAAGTACCGATATATTGAGGCGAAGATTGTTCGCGGTTCTTCTTCGAGCGCGAGATAAATCGAACGAAAAAAAACGTCGAATACGAAACGTCGTCGTTAATTGTTTGCGATTGTTGCCTCGCGATTCGTGCCAATCAAGAGTTCAATTCAAAAAGAAAATCGAAGAACAAAAAAAAAAAAAAAAAAAAGGACCACGATCGAGGGTGCGCGGAGACGGGATGAGACAGGTTGAATTGTCGCGTGTCAAGGGGGGAAGAGATGCGTTAACGGAGAGAGGGAGAGAATGAAAGAAATTTAGGAGAAACACACAAACGGAGAAACACAGTTCTTCTTAAAAAAAAAAAAAAAAACACACACAGTTTTCAAAAGCACTTGTAAATTACTTGCATATATAATTGAATTACAATACTTATTACTATCACTGCTAAAACTACCCTTATTAAACTAAAACCACCTACCAAAAAGAGAAGTGAAACCAGCTACTCTCCACTACTGTTACTATGTTTCAGCTACTATTCAGCTGCTGCTCTACTATCTCTCTCTCTCACTACTACTATTACTATTACTATTACTGAAAACTATTCTACTCTAACGCTAACTATCTTGCTACTAATGCTGTTACTATTATTACTGTAATAACTAAGTGTAACTAATTACCGAAGTGCGCGCGTAAAGAAAGAACGAGAAGAGAAACATCAGTTTCGCACGTAATTAATTTAATCGTTTGATCAAGAGATAAGCCGTGCTGACACTACATTGCCGAGTTTCAAATGTACGATTGAATTGAACAAAGACAACTACAAAAAAAAAAAGAACGAAAATGGAAAAAGAACAGACAAAAAAAAATAAATAAACAAAAATTGAGAGAAAACGAGATGGTTTTGCTAAAAACGAGTGCACGTTATCCGACCCGAAATCACATGAGAGACAAGGAAAAAGAAAGAAAAAATCTTAAATAAATATATATATATATATATTATAAATAAATTTTCAATATACTGCCAATCATTATAAAGTGTTTTAAGCAAACACACACGAAAATATATAGGTGTACATAAATATACGTTCTTTTTTTCTGCGACACGTTTAAATATTATACGATTATATCTGTAAGTGTGTAAATACCCGATGAAAGAAGAAAAAATGCGAAAGAGAGGGAGAGAGAGAGCGAGAGAAAATGAAAATTCGAATGAATGCATATAAGTAATTGAATCAGTAAATTTGAGAAGCGAAATAAATTTATTTTGCGAAATATTTTTATTTTCGTTTCTTCCAGTTTACGTAAAAATACATTTTGTACTTTTTACGCCTTCAATCTTTTCTAATTTCTCACATATTTTTATTTATTTTTATTCAATTGTTACAATTGTAAATGTGATATTTGTGGAGAAATAAATGTGCCGGAAGAAAAAAAAAACAGAGATGAGAATTCGATCGACTTATTTCGTTTCTCAGATAAGTGATTCGATTGATTTTCCGATACTGCTCTTGTGCTTTGTTTGCGTAATTTTCGTGTATCGGCTAACAATGAGTCAAAATAAACGAAAATATTGCCATTACGTAAATGCAATTACTTAATGTAAGTAGTTAATTCGTAAAACAAAACAAAAACGTATGCATGCAACGAGGAGACGGAAGAATAGAGAGAAACTGGAAGAATGATTGATTTTTAATGTGATCCGCGTATAAAGATCCTTGGTGAATGGACAGGCATAAATCATCGAAACTTGTTTGTATCATTCGATAATTAAAAACAAAAAAATCCAATACGTAATAAGATCAATTTTTCCAAAGAAAGAACTACAGACTTATTCAATTGCTTTAATATTGTCTAATAATAATGTAAACTAATAAAAGTTAATATAATGAAAACAGATGTAAATGAGATATATATCTAATTGTTACCTTTAATGATATACAATTATTTCCAGGTCCGGGAGAATTGCATTTTGATTAAAAGCAACCACACGCTAAAAAATAGTATAGAAATATTAGTACGTGAGAGGATGTGAAAAAGAGGATCTCACCGAGGATCTCGTGAGCGCATCTCTAGTGGGCGCATGACCGAAATCGCGTGATTTCTTTCTTCAATAAAGTGCTTTACAAACTCAATCGTGTAATTATATATAGTGAGAATGAATGCGAGAAAAAAAAAAAAAAAACAAACGCGCGCAGGAAGAAACGCTATCCAATCGATTCGCTAATATTGGTTTACGAAACCGAGTTTGTTTCAGAGATCTTTTCGATTTTTTGCAAATTAAAAAGAAATAAATCATATTTGCATACATTAGTCTGTCTGATAAATGGAGTTATTCAAAATAAAATTAAATATTGAATGGCGGTCTGCTTAGAACGAGATTATTTTTAACCGGTATTAGCGAATGTGTATCTCTCACAATAGATATAAAAATAAATATAAATATATGTATATATATATATAAATAATATATTAATAATATATATTTATGTATATAATATATATTATATTTATATCGTATATGCAAAAATCTTGACAATGATCCACCGAGATCCGTGAAAATTGAGCTGCACCATATACATACGTGCGCGCGCGTGCGCGTGTGTGTATACATGTGTATATAAGTGCGCGAGAATATAATAAGATTTAATAAAATATTCATTAAAATGTTTTTCTGTGATAAATCCGAAAAAATTGTTTGGCTAGTCCGACGATACGGTCGCGTCGATAGGTTATTTCGCGTATTTAAAATTACGTTCGCACGAGCAGAGAAAATATGAGAGAGAACAGAAGAAAAGAGCCGTTTTTGTAATAATTTCATGAATAAAAAAAGCAGAAAGGAAGTGAATGTGCACACATACGAATATGAGGCGCTGAACATGAGTGAAAAAAGTTGATTAGAGAAAAATCTTTCAATCTTTGCAGACTTTAAAATGTCGTGACAGGACACTCAGATGTGACCAACTATTGAACAAGTATAAAAAAAGAAAAAAAACAATTTTAGCTTAAAAGTGCTAATTTAAAAATGAATATAAATATTTCGAGACAAAATCGCGATTGAAATAACACTTATAAAAAACCATAAATTAAAATAACACTCAAAAACCCAATCAATCCGGTATCAACGCGAGCGAGCGATCTTCGAAGGCTTCGCGTTTTTTCAAATAATGGTTCTTTAATTAAAACCAATATATTATTTGTTTAAAAAATAAAAAATTGTTATCTTACTATCAAAATATTTTTACTGTTGATATATTCTTGATCTTGTGTTTAAATTATATCTTATTCTCATTACGCGCTTGAATTTCGCGACGATTATAAAACAATCATGCGAGCCTTCGACACATCGTCGGACTTCTCAGTGATATTAAACAAAAGTAATCTTAACGAAAACGTAAATAGATAAACGGGAATCTAAATCGCGTATTATAATAACACATTGAAAAGTTACATGTGTGGCGGCTCCTCTAACATCTCAAACGAGCGAAATCTACAGAAAGGCTAATAAAAATAATTTTAAATGCAGAAGATAATGCGCGAGAGAGTTAAACGACATTTCGTGGATAATCCGTTAATTGCTATTTAATAAACGACACGTGCACCTTTCTCGCACGGGGATTCTATAAATATGTACACATAAAGTATTAAAAACAAAAAACAATAATATATATCAATTATACATATATATATACATGCAAAAACACATAAACACATTCACAACACAAAACACGCACATACACTAATCGGCGTGAGTGTCTTAACATTTGTCGCATCTTTCAATTTTACTTGAACGTATACAAAGGTAACGATGTTTTTGCGTATTCCATATATGTGATGTAAATAATAATATAATGTGCGCAAGTATATTTTTGTGCGCGCACAATGTGTATTGTTACTTAAAATACCCCGTTTAGAATAATCTGCAGGTCACACGCGGCAAAGCACAAAAAAGAGATACAAAGCGACTAAATGAAAATACCGGATAAATCCTCGGATAAATGTTAAGACATCGTTTTATGGAAAATACGCGAAAACATATTCGCAATAGCGCGCTTGCGCGTAAGTTATTCGATATCTTCCCGTGCATCCTTTCGATACATCCACATTCGGTGCGTATTAAAGACAAAAGAGGGAGAGAGAGAGAGGAAGGGAGGGAGAGAGAAAACATGTGTAGAAAAATTCTCTCAGCTCGCAAAGAAAAACAATCGAAAATACACGTAAAAATACACGTATACAAATAAACTCTCGACGAGTAAAGGATTTAAGTATGGGATCTGTTTTCTTTTGCTCTCGAACTGATACATAGTACATTGTAAGAGAATCATGTATGAATCACATAATGAATTCCCTTGACTTCTTACTTGTATCTATTTGTAACAATAAGATAACCACAGAAAGAGAGATAACAAAATAAAAAATTGCGCGACGTGAAGTTTCAGAGAATAAATAAAACATTACGTAAAAAAGAAAGAACAATTAAAAATTATAATTATCGTTAAGTTTTTCTACTTACCTATGTATACATATATAAATATATAAATATAATATAAAAAGACGTACATAACGCGTATAGTATATACACAGTAAAATATATACAATCTATAAATATGATACACGGAACACACACACAAACACACACACATACATACACATATACGTTATTACACATGTGCATACATATATATAATATAAATAATTGGTATAAACGAATATTGAGGTGCATACTGTGAAACAAGAAGATGATAAATGCTGTGTAATGATAAATAAATCGTAATATAGCAAGAGATAAAAAAAACAGTGAGAGGTAGAGAGAGAGGAGAGGAGAGTGAGAAAAAAGACGAAAGAGAATTTTCGTCGCTAGATTTCTCGGTGCGCCGGGACTCTGTAGAGTTTCATACTTTTGCAAATAATCGAAATCTTGTCGATATCCACAATATGAATATATATAATATATAAATATTATATTGACATTATACCGAAATCTCTCTATACATATATACATATTATTATGAAATATTACCCGAAAGAATTTAAAAATCCTTTGAGCCGAGATTAGTTGAGAGTCGTGCGCGTGCAGCCGCCGGTGCAAATGAGATTAGCGAATTAGCGTGCAAACCGGGAAAGTGTATTGCAGAGAATCGACGTCAATTTCTTCAGGTTCGGAGTGTTTCCGATGCACACGCCGGCGTATTTGTTTTTCGAAATCTCTCTCGAAAGACACTAAAAAAATACACACCACGTACACATAAATTGAAAAAACAAAAGACATTTTTGTTAATAAAATAAACGAAACAAATAATTATTTAATTTCTGTCGAATGAACAATATTCTCTATTTAAAAAACAAATTTGACATAATTTGACTAAGTTCGATTTACGTGGAAAAACACACTCGGTACACTCTCTAGAAATTGAAGAAATCAATCAGGATCGAAGAAAAGAGTTGAGAGAGAGAAATGTGACAAAACAGAGAGAAAACGTAATAATATGTATTATTTTTTGTACAAGAATGGCCTTAATATTAGCGCGTTTTCACAAAAACTAGGATATGTGAAACGTGCGAAGAAAGTAGAGAGAATAGAGCAATCGTAATTGGAAATATTGCAAACTTTGAGAGAAAAAAAAAAAAAAAGAACGACTTCTAGAAATCAAAAGAAGAGATATTAAGAGAACGATGTAATAAGAAAAATAAGAAGAGAACAGATCGAAAATAAAAATAAAAAATTATTCAAAACGGAAACCCCGAATAAATTGACGGGACGGGAAGCGAGCCACACACAATTAGCCTGTGTCTACGTATAAACGTGTATGTGGGTTTGCGTGTATGCGTGTGTATGTGTGTGCGCGCGCATGTGCACAAAAAGTTTTAACAAATGAGTGATTAGACACAGAGAAAGTTGAAAACGAAGGTAGGGGGCCTCGCTGCATGTTCGCAAGAAGCTCGTCTTTGCGTCCCGAATTTAGCGTGAAATATACCAATCAAATATATCAACTCCGAATTTCAATTGTAGTCGACGCGTTGCGAGGAGAATATAGAAGAATCTATTTCATTGTGTTCAAAGTATATCTCAGAGGAAGATATATATACATATATATATATGTATATGTATATGTATGTGTATATAATATTTTAGAACTGAGCGCGGGTGCGACGCAACGACGAGCCCGGGAGTTTCGTAGACGTTTTGTAACACCTCGACTGGCCGTGTGCCGTGGTGTTACAAGCGTTGTGTAAAAAGACGAAAACAAAAAACGATTTAAAAGAAAAGAGACATACCATTCACATATTGAAAGCCTTATCTTTGAATAATCTAACTTTAAAAAGAGAAATACGCGGAGGGTTTACGCGGCGCATGGTATCGCGCGAAGCACGGCGGGACGTTTTTGCCGAATCTAGTCTCTACTTTGCGTTTCTTCTCAGCGCAATCGGACGACTCGCTCGTACAGTGTTCTTTTGCGATCAAAAGTCGCGACGACGTTTGTCGTTACAGAAATCATCGATTGAGTCTCGCGAATCGAAAGAAACGAGAGTTCGAAGATACGCGACAGACGATCTTTCGGACGCGCAGCGTGCGCCGTCGTGCTTCCCGCGTCAGTGTAAAAAAAAAATCTTATTGTATATTACTTATATATATATATATACATATATATATATATATACATATATATATATATATATACATAAATGTAGACGTACATATAAAACGCGAAAAAAATGCTAAAAGCCACTTGTTTTTTCTTTAAGAAGGGATCGAGCGAAGAGAGACAGACATTGTGACCTTTATACATAATAATAATTAAAATAAATTTCTCTCGTGCGTCCGCGCGCGTCACGCTGAAGTTACAACGCGCCATAATCGCGTCAAACAGACGACGGCGTACAGATGCGTCTTTTGTTCCTTGGAATACAAGAACGTTCTCGTTCTCGCCGTCGTCTTTGACGTTAGCACACGCGAGAAGCAACGGTGTATTTCCCTTCGAGAACAGAGAGAGATTCTTCGGCAATAGTTTCGGCATTCCTCGAACATTGCTACTTAAATCTAAAATTTAACATCAAAACTTACACTTTGCTTTAATCAAATTCCACAAGAGAAAATAAACTACGCACTGACGTAGTTCTCTCTTTAAAGAACTTTGAACATATATGTTGTTCGCAACAAAAGTTTTCGTTTCAGAATATTATGAAACATGTAAGAGATATTTAATAATGTGGAAATCGAAAACTTCTGACGTACCGAAAAACTTGTCGCAAATTCTCAAATTCCATTCGACTACACGCGTTTACGCACTTGTCGAAGTATCTGTGCAAACAAAATTGTTGAAAAAATGAAAATCTCGAATAAGTCTCACAAAATTTTTGCAACAAAGAGGGGAAATATCAGTACAAAATTTGTGAGTTGTGTCTGAGCGTGTGTGATGCAAAAGTCCATGTGACGACGCGCGCGCGCGCGCGCGCCGCAACAACTACGTACGTTGTGTTGTATTGTGTTGTGTGCGTGTGTTTGTGTTATTTCTCTTCTTCAGAAAAAATAAGTATCACGCCTCTTCTCTCAAATATGATGATACGTGCATCAGCCTGCCAGTGTTGAGAAACTGTGAGAGAAAGGACGATGAAAGAGAGAGAAAGTGTGTGTGTATGTGTGTTTGTTTGTCTGTGTGCGCATGTGTGAAACAAAATAGAGAGTTACAGGGAGAATGACGTACAAGATGCATTATTACCGATTATGTACTATGCTGTAAACACGGAAAATCTATCTTATATATAAATCTTATATATATATACATAGCTATATATATATATATATATAGTTCAATTTGCAAACTTAGTGTGTATCGTCGCTTCAAAAATGCCCTGTCATTACTCGCCAGAAAAGAAGAAATCCAACAATTGATTACAAGTTCATTCTTTTTTTAAGAAAAAAACCAAATAAAATAACATGTTAAAATATATTTCGCACGAATGACTTTTTTCACTTGAAACCAATCTCGTCAATTTCTGCTTCGTGCTATTTTCACAAGACTATTTTTTTTTCTCTTTTTATATTTGCCTCTCACTGTTTTCTTGTTCTCGTCGCGCAAAGAACAGACTTCTGTTTAATTTACAAAAAAAACCAAAAATATCTACAGTCACATTTTAATTAATTACGAAGAAAAATTGTTTTTCACGTAAAAGAAATGAGAAAACTTCTTCAACTTTGAACTTCGACTTTTGTTCGAGATATATCGACTTATCGTTCGAGCGCACACGTTCCATGTTCGGTCGCTAGATGGACGTGACGTGTAAGATAATCTGTCAAATGTGGTTTCTCCAGCTGTTCTGGCGAAGTGCTCCTGGTGTCTTGGCGCCAAAATACTTCATTGTACGTTATCGGTCACACGTGTCAACATGCTGCGTAAACGCGGTGCATTGATAGTTCTGGAAGGTGGTGATCGGGCAGGGAAGTCGACCCAAACGAAGATGTTGACAAAAGCGTTGATCGACCGGAAGATTCCTGCGGAGGCTCTAAGTTTTCCAAGTAAGGATTATACATTTGTTGCACAAGGTTAGATTTTTCGCGCGGGAAAAGATTCTTCGGTGTTGTTATCTCAACGAAGTATAAAATACCTGACGAAATTTTTAAATAATTACTCACGAATCACACGTTCTTCTGAATTTTTAGTTCGGATCTTCTTGTGTAAATTTTTATTTTTAAAAACGCAATCTTTTATTATTTTTGTGTTTCAGATAGGGAAACACGCGTTGGCGCTGTTTTGAGTGAGTTTTTATCCAAAAAAATACATGTGCCACCAGTAGCAGCTCATTTGCTATTCTCCGCTAATCGTTGGGAATGCGAAAAGGAGATGAAGATGACGCTCTTGTCCGGTGTCACTTTAATCGTGGACAGATACGCGGCGTCCGGTGCCGTTTACGGACAAGTCAATACTGGTAGAAGCCTCTTTTGGTGCCAGCAAGCTGACATGGGTCTTCCGAAGCCTGACTGCGTGGTGTTTCTCAAAGTGTCCCCACAACTTCAAGAGCAGCGTGGCGACTGGGGAAAAGAGAGATTCGAACGTAATGATTTTCAGCAGCGTGTTAATGACAATTATGAAAAAATAAAAGACGATACTTGGATTGTTGTAAACGCGGACCACGATCAATTAACAGTGCACGCTCAGATATTGGAAAAAGTGCTGACGGTCATTGAGGATGTTGAAAGCAGTGACATAGCAAAATTGACGTAATATCAAGAAAACATATAGAAGCAACATAGAAGCATTTGATGTTACACGTAATTGAGATGTATATATATACACGTGAAAAGTATGCACTTTAGATTAGAAAAAAAGGAAAACATCATCCTCTCCTCCAGAATGATCTCGACAAAAATTTTTTATTTTTCTATTAATTTTACAGTGTTTGACGTTATCTTGAGTAAGACCTTAAAATATCTTAAATGCATTTTTTTTCTATTTTAACTTACAGACACATTACTATTTTTTTACTTGGACATTTGTAAAATAATGTTGGATCTTGTATATTATAATGTTAGACTTTGTTATCAGACAGTATACTATCGCAATTTATATGAATTATTATTTCGATAGTTATGTATTTGCAGAATTTTTTATGATAGGACCTTATGAAAAATACGAAATTATTGACGAAAGAAATGACTTAACAAATTTGCATAATAATAACTAATATATAATTTGCATAATAATAATAATAACTAAATAAGATTTAGTGGAATTAAGAAAAATAAAAATATTTTTAATAAATTCAGACTTATATACGCAACTTTGTCTATATTTTTATAAGCATTTTGCGGTGAAAGATTTTAGATGTCGGTAGAAAATCTATTTGGCATTTCATCGCCGAGATAGGAGCGTAACCCGAGCATATCATATTACGCTTTCCTCGCAGAAGTTTAATTCCTTGCTTGTTCCAGCAATAAGTAGTTGAGATAAAAGCTCTTTCCGTTCCGATCTGAATACATATTTGACCTTTGTCAGGAAAAGTCGATATCAAAGAGAAACCGTGTTAGACGTATTTCAGAAAAGTCAGTTGTACTTTCCGGAGAAAAATGTAACTTTTCCGGTACATCTGAATTCACTCTCGACGAAACCAAGTGTGCGCTACTCTGAAATTTTATGTCACACACTTGGCGCGCATTTAAATGCCGTTTGCTCTCTCATAAGATTTATTTCATCTTTAGAGCGTGATGGATGGCGCGACACGTTAGTGTTGTATCATAAATAACGCTACGAAACGAATACATTTTGAGATTCTAAATAAAAGTTGCTGGTATTGTTGGACGCGGAAATTTCACTTAAGTTATTATAATTCTCTGCAAAAATAAAAATAAGGGTGAAGTTAATCGTTGTTATAACGGCGATGTAGTGCAATAGGGATAATAGATCCTAAAAAAAAAAGATTAATTTGACAACTAGTATTAAGGCCTACGAGCCAATATGCTGGATGTATGTGCGATTATATATATGTATATTTTCTTTCTTTAAACGTAGAAATTATGGAGATTCGAATTAAATTTAATTCAAAAATTCACATAAGAGGGAAGATTTTTTTCACAGTGATGCAAACACTAAAGTCAAATATAGTCGTACAATTTCACGAGTTTTAAATTTGTTGTAAAATTAATCGGTACATTAATAAATTCACCAAGCGAGAGTGGCGTAAGATGTGCATAATACGTCTGTGAAACATAATATATAGATGTCAACTGCTCACACATTATATACTTAATTACCACGTAATTTGTATTATTTTGTTAAAAAAAAAAAGTGAATAAGAATAAACGCAACATATGACGATATCTTATTGCATTGAAATTCATTCTGATATCGAACTCACACCCAGCTCGATCTGCAACGTTCATAGTCTCGGATGATAACGGCATATAGCAACGGAAATCGATTACGTTCAGCGTGACAACGACAGCTGCTAAAGCTACATGATGATAAATTGCATCTCGTCCGCGAACTGGAACATGCACTGTGTGTATAATGATGTCTCCCCGCGTAGAGAGTAGCTGGGAAGCAAGCGGCTTAAATATCTTTATGCAAGCGTGTTCTTCTCTCTCGGGGAGAGAATATTAACTCATACATATAGCGAGCTGGTCTATACATACTAGCAATCTAACGAAAAATTCAAGTAGACGGTGATAGATCTATAGGACGTCGTGGGATGAAAAGGTCAATTTTAATTAATGCGTTTCGGGAATATCGTGAAAGTTTTTTCCGCATTATCCGCTTGAAAAATGAAAAGTTGGTGAAAACAGTTTCTCGGGTCTTTCATTATTCGCGAGAGCGTAGAAATGTTCTGTTTGCAAAATAATTGCTTGATAAATAATTTTCCTCAAGCAATTGAAACAAACTTCTCGTTGCATTAAACATCGCTATCTATTCCCTAATGTTTTCCGGAGTCTGAAGTGCGATCTGTCTAAAATGCTGCTTTAGTTGCGCGATATCTCTTATCTCGGTCTCGGCTGTAAATTATTGCGGCTCTCTATGGCGACGCGCCATTAATTCTTCGGCATCCCTCATGTGCACCAAAGCATCCGGCGGCGTGGCGCACAAGTCGCGTTATTCGTACGGGACAGAAAGGAGAGGGATGTCACATCCGGGAATCTCGCGATCGTTCGAAGGTGGTTACGAGTGCGAGGAAAGCGCAACTTTGTTTCGCGTACGACCGAAACTCGATCCGGTGAAATTGCATCCGACGAAGAAATCCGGCGGAAGCGCACAATGGAGCTTTCCAGTCTAAATTGATGATTCCGGGCCGAGCCGTAATTCTCTACGCGGGCGAAACACAGATTTCGTGAATTACCGGAAACTATTACCTTTCGTTCAAACTGCAAGTTCCATATTGCGCGCTCAATTAATAGCGAAATTGCAGTTTCAGATGAAGAAATTCCTCGCAGTCTGTGATATTACGCGTCCGTGGAAATAATTCGCACAGGGAGTCCCTTTCACTCGGAACATTTATTTCCATGTAATTTAATCCGTTTTAAAAATCGTACAAGAGAAATTATTATTTTATTTTACATATTGTTTTGTTGCAACTCTTTTAATATATTTTCTCATGACGTCGATTTATCTTTCTTCGTTTTTCTTTTTTTAACATAGAATATTTTTATTTATTTCCCGTTGCTGTTGAAATCACTCTTCAATCTTTCTTGGGCGTTATGGTGAAGATTCCCCGTTCCGTCTTGCACACCTTCCACGGTTTCGCTAGTTGTGCGTCATTATCACTGAGCACATCAGCGGAAACAGTGGGTATAGTCCGTGTCAAATCAGACAAGCCGAACACGAACGTCGTCTCGTACTGCTTCGTCCAATCGGAATCGGATCTCGATTTTTTCCGTTCGGGTTCGTTGTCATCGGTATCATTTTTTGATTCTTCAACGTCGGTGAAACGTGATGATCGTTGCCTTTTCAACGACTTTTGCGAAGAATAGTCATCGTTTCCGTTCGAATTGGTCGATTCGGTCGCGTTTCTCTCAACGGCGCGGGAAATCATCCCCGCAATCAATTCCTTCGTATTGTCAAACACTTGTTGCGACACAACATCGCTGGAACTCGAACCAGTGATTTTCGGCGAGGACTCGATCGATCGTTCATTGTTCGAGGTACAATTATTCTTACGTTTTTCATCAACTTTAGCCGTTTCGTCGAGCTTAAGATCACAATCCGCAATTGTTACCGCTGCAATCAATGCGGTATTTGCAGCGTCCTGAGTAGAATGACTTTTCTCGGAGCTACGAGTTGCATTTGCAATTGTTCGGACGTCAGTAATCCGCGGAAGTCCCACCGATGTTGAAATAGTAGCGACGTCCTCATTATTCTTCGACGTTGATTTATCACTCGACTTCGAAATGTTCGTTTCTTTGTAACGATCCTCGCTTAATTGAGCTTTATCGTTTGATGTCTTTCGCGAGTTCTTTACTTCGCGATCGACGAGTTTTTTCTTTGTCCGATCGCTTCCTCTCGCTCGAGAGTGATTATTTATGAGATTCTCTTCCTCCAAATCTTCTTCCTTCGAATCGTCGATTAACGTAACGACGTTTTTGGATCTGAGATTATAACCATGATTCTTCTCGGTGGATTTGCCAGACGATCGGGCTGACGTATTATTGGCCGAGAGATCGTCGTCAAAACTGACAAATTTTCTGAACGATACTTCGTTTCTCACGTTATTCCGCGAGTCGCAATGGATCTCGAGAAAACAATCGTCGTCGGTTCGAAAACTCGTTCGCCGGAAACTCGCGACGATGAGATCACGCGGAACTTCTCGCCAAGCTTCCACCAAGCTACTCACGACATTCCCGACGTTCCATTGGCGCTCGTGTTTTCCGATTTCTTCCAAATACCTACGACAAATATTTCCGATAGTTCTTTGCAGCCGGGATAATTAAGCCTCTTCGAAGTTCTGAGATTTATATTACGACAAATATGTAAAATATTTTCTATCACAGTGATTGTGTCTCTGTGAGATTTAGGTGTATTTATACAATTTTTGCGATTTTTATTTTTTGAACAGTTGGTAGAATATATTTCTGTAGCCTAAGGATATAACATTTTATGACACTTTTTACAAACACATTTTAAGGTCATATAGTAGTTAACCTGGCAAAGAGTTTTTCGATCAATGTGAGGCCGGATATGCGCAAAATATATTTTTAAACGTATATTAATTATTAAATCATTACATATAATAATTCGAACTAAATTTCCTTTAAAAATTTGTATTGAATGTTTATTTTTAAAAATTTTAAATTAAATTATACGAGAAAGAAGTTTATTTTACATGAAGAAGCTTCAGTTATAACTCGTGTCAAATTATATTTAATAATTAAACTATTGCGAACATACATACTTGCTTCTATATGTCATTTTGACGAAATGGAAAACGTCTCTCTTCAGAGGCGTTGCCAACGACGGGAAATTGTCGGGGAAAAAGATGTGCTTTACATTACTCAGTTTGAGATTCCGAAAAGCACTCGTACGATTTCTGTGTAGCATCAACAGGATCTTGCGACTGCTGCTCGACATACGATCGTTCAGTCGAGTCAGCCATTCCTTCAAGAGATTGTCGCTTATCAAAGCGTCCTCGCTGTGACCGTATACATGGTCGTTTTCCGTTATCACAGTGGGATAAGAGCCGCAGATCAATAGCGGCAACTTCTCGGTGCCGGAGGCGTTGCAACACATCAGAATTGTCGCTTTCTTCAGATTCGATTTATCTTGTTGTATGGACGAGATTCTGCTCGGTGAAACATCCAAGTACATCGTCAGCTCGTCCAGATGAAAAAGATTCTCGTATTTGTACTGCATGATGATGAATCTCATTGTGTCAATCCAGAGTCGGTAATCATTGAAAGTCGGTCCGATGGAACCCTTTGAATCGAGAGAGAAGCCACACTTCTTCAGAAAAGACGTCAGCCATCTCTCGGAGCACTTAAAGCCTGAAGAGAAAAGAATTACAACTATATTAACACATTTGCAATGTCATATCGTTTTAAATACACTCAAAACTTTAGAGAAAGTATTATCGAAAGTATTATTCAGATTGACTCTATTTTTATACTTCGTCGAAATTTTTCCGACATCCTGTATATACATTTTTTTAGATATTTTTGTGACAATTTTATCTTACGTAATGTCTCTAATACAGCATCAGAATTAATCTCTCAAAGACATTATTGAGGCTGGAGAAACGGAAATTTCCTTAAAAAAATATTTTAAAGTATTTTGGGTCCGAAAACATTGTCGTTTTTTTCCCCATTTATGTCATTTAGTACCGCTACCGGTTCTACCCACGGAAACCAAGTAATACCCTTTATGGATCGTTGGATTATTCCTAAGGAGTTATTTTGTGCTTTCCCGCAGCACCTTGAGCAACGTGAGAAAGACGAATTTGGGGTTACATACCGGTCACTCTGTACTCGTTGGTCAATTTGAGTGCTTTGTCACGTAAAAGACCCTTGTCGAGAGGTTGGTTCATGGCGTGTCTCTCGCACGTCCATTTCAGCAATGCGTCCTTTATTGCCTTCATGATTGCGTTTCGACGCGGGGCAGTGTCTTGCAGAACATCGCGGATGCGGTTTTTCTTCGTCGGAACGTTAGCCGTTAGATTGGACGAATCGTTTTTCGAGGAGAATTTTTCGGCGATTTGCGCGAAGCGAGTCTCTCGGGAACAAAAGTTTCCGGACAGATGGAACGTATATACCAACGATTTTCACTTGTCCCTCTGGAAGTCGCGTTGACAGATAAATCACCGCAGCTTTGTTCGCACTCGTTTAACCGTCGAGTTTTCCCATTTGGATTGTGAATTATATAAATGGTGCCATACGTCAGACTGGATAAATAATTTGTCATCGAAGAAATATCACTTGTCAAGTTAATGATAAATATAGAAATGACACATTTCAAATGGGATTTTTGTGTTACAGACTTGAATGTATAAAAGATTCGATAAGTATATCGATTTAGCAAGAGTATCGAAAGTAGAAAAGAAAGTACGTGAAATATTTGTTCAGGGGAATAATAAAGTTTTTCTTGAAAAAAAAAAAAAAACCGTGTTCTTTGTTCTCTCACATTTCTTTTGGAGATAATAGTCAAAATAATTTAGATTATCCACATTTAATGTGAGAAAAAGTCTGAACGAATGAATCATAAAATGCGAGTTTTCGTATAAGTTTGGACGAGAGTGTAATAATTTTTAGCAAACCTATTAAGAGATTCGGGGAAGAACATTTTGCGGGGTTGCAAATAATGGCGAAAAAAGAAAGAGACTTGAAAGAACCAGTTTAAGAAAACGAGACTAGACGTTATATTCTCGAGCAAATTTCTAGTCGAAATTCGCGCCGCTTCGTTATCTGGATTCGACGGATTTATAATCGTTCAAGCCGACCGGAATAATTTTAATCAACCGTCGAGATAAGGGGAGATTTTAAACTATATACAACTGCCTCAAACAGCTCGCTTAAACAACGTGAAATATGAGAAGTCATTTTAACTTTTCGTCTCATTTAGTTCCATCTCGCTTCTAATTAAATGGTTGATAAGCAAGACAATTCTATTAGTATATCAAAAGAATGTATATACAAGGTGTTTGATAAATTTTGATCAAGTCGAAGTGTGAAGGTAGATTGGGTCAATCTGAACAAAAAAGTTATGTATCATTTTGCAAAATTTGCAATATTTATTGAGTTATCAATTAATTAATGCGAGCCAATGAGCGCGTGAGAAGCAATAGTTCGGACTCTGTAGGCGTGTATAATTTTCATTTATTAAAAGAGAAAGAGATGGCTGACTTCATGCAATATATTAGCAACGAGAGGTGAAGTAAACAAGCGCGAGCGACGTATGAAACAGATTTTTGCGATCAGCTGATTTTCACAACGATAACAACTGAAAATCATGCACGCCTACGAAGTCCAGACCATCGCTTTCCTCGCGTTCATTCATTAATTAACTCAATAAAGGCCGGTTCTTCCACTTTCCAATAAATCTCGGCTCACTCGACAGGTTATTATTTATAGAATAGGAAACCTGACTAGCAAATCTCTCACTGTTTTTTATTTCTATATATTTATCTGTTAGATACGACTTACACGGTACCGAGAGTGCCGTGTGATTTATCGTTTGGTTTCTGGTCATTTACCAGATATATAAATTTTACTGACACGTAGAACAACGCAAATCAGAATTTTTACCATGAGATAGATTACCCGATACTTTATCTGAAGATAGAACAACCGGCCCTAAATCGGATCGGACCAGAAAAAGTATCCTATATAAAAAAATCCACGCGTTTTAATATCGAATCTATCGCATCTATTGTTGCCTCTTTTTCGCGTTGATCGAGTTGAGTCGAGTCGAATCGAATTGGTAAGATCGAGAGAGTAAATAATGACAGAAGAGCGATTTTGACAGTTCGTCGTATACGTGAAGAAAATTAAAAACGTGACTAAAGTAACGTGACTGTAATTTATATTATATATAACATTAAATACTATTATACATAGGATTTATTATATATTATAATATTATACTTTATATTGTATTATATATATTATATACATACTACAGTAAAATCACTGACCTCGATCGCGCGACCGCGGCGGGGTCACTGACCTCGGTCGCGCGACCGCGGCGGGGTCACTGACCTCGGTCGCGTGACCTTGACGGGATCACTGACTTTGGTCACGTGATTACGGTATATATATATACATATATATGTGTATTATATAGAGAATAGAATATTCTCTATATAATATATATAATAGAATATATATAATAGAATATAATATATATATATATATAATATATTATATATATAATAGAATGTTCTATATAATACACATATAGTATATAGATATATTATATAGATATAGAATATTATATATAATATATATTATATATAATATTCTCTTTTTTACTCTTTTCCCTGTCGTGACTTTAGTCACATGTTGTTTTTTTATTCTTCTTTTTTTCTTTTATTTTTCGAGTTTGATTTTCATGCGTTATTTCTGACATCTCTCATATGTAGATCATGTGTATTATATTGTTTGTAAGACGTGTATATACCAGCTGTCATTGCTATGACAGGTTAAATTTACTGACACTACGCGTTAAAATAAAAGCAATAATAGCGTGCGCGTAGCGCGCGCCTGTTGTGCTAGTGTGTAAATAATCACAAACAATTCTGTCGATCTTGATTGTTACCACTTTTATCGCGACGCTGATTGGATGTCTTTCGGTGACGTTTCTCGGATGCGTTTCTCGGTTACATGTCGTACGTATGTATACTAGCTGTCACATCGCGATGACAGGTTGCGTTTACTGACAGAACACGTTAAAATAAAAATACTAGCAAGCGCGTCTGTGTTGTGCTAGTATTGCAAACGATAACCGCAAAATAGTAAATAACTTTTCTGATCAGAACGACCTGAATCTTCACACTTTGGCTGTGTCAAACATTTTCAAACATTTTGTATATTAGTGAAATAAATTTTACGAAAAAAAATAAGAGGCAAAAAAGTAAAGCAATTGCTGGTTTTTATTGTATGAAATTTTTCAGGATAATATTAACAAATTGCGATGAGCGGTGAATACTTCTTTCACATTTTGAGAGAGTTCACCGACATATCCTTCTTCTTGATACACGCGCGCACTTTTTAATATACGAGCTATTTCTGGAAAGCATTCAGCCGAGTCGTCGCCGCGTTCTTTGTCGCTACCATCTAATTATGCAGGAAATGAGAGTAGAGCGACGTCGCGACGCGCATCCACAGCATTGTGCTCAAAAGCACTCTTTTTTCATTCTTCGTTCCGCTCACCGGTATTCTCTTCTTCTTTAATCCTTGTAGAAACCAGAAAGTTGGGAGTGAAGAATCACAACATTTGCTATATATTAAACGCACACCGATCGGTACCGTATCGTTATACTTTGTAATTTCATGTGCATTCTGTCGATCACGCGGTATGATTATTAATTCTTGTACACAACCTATTATTTGTTTCATACGTGCATTATTAGTATTATTTATTCAATAAATATTTAAACAAGCTCTCTCACTATTGTCGAGAGAATTAATTTCTGTAATTTATTCATGCATTTCATTATCTAGTTCTCATTCGTCTCAACATTTAAAACCATTGATTGTTGTTAATGATATGAGATTAAAAACCACCGTGTATTAAATATTTCACTTATCTCGATATTTGACAAGAAACTAATCAATTGCGTCGTTACGGAAGCGTTAAATCGGCGCGTGAAATTGATTTTCGCGTCGGTTTTTTCAAAAAACCAACATGTGACCTCATCAGTCTGCCGAGAAGATATGAGAATTTCGTTTTGTTCCTGTCGTTGTTTCATGCACTCAACGAATATTGTTCGTCCGAGTTAAATTACATTTCTCGGGGGAGAGAGTTGTCGTCGTACGAACGACGGGAGATCATTTCACATTCTAGATTTTCATCTAACATCGCTCTATCTGTATAATATATTCGAGAGCACAATTCGACGCGCTCTTGCTCCGCGTTGTCCTCTACAAGTGAAAACATTCATTAATATTTGATTATTATTTTATGGTGTGTTATAACTTTGATCATAGCTCTCTCTCGTTGTTATTTCGCGTTATTATGTCAATATTAGCTAATAATTAATTAGTACCGAATGTTACAATTGTAACATATGGCACTATTATTTCGTAATGTGCAGAGAGTAACGAGACGCGCACGAAGATACGCGTCAAGAAGAAGAAATTATTTGTCATATAATTTTTTTTACATGCGTATACAAATATTTCATATATATAGAAATGTATATGGAAAAAAATTCGACGCGAATAATTCGTCGAGTAGATAAGCACTAAGTCAATTGTTTAGAAAAACAAACCAAAATTGAATTAAAATTAAAATAAATCTCGAAACCATATATAGTTCACCGTAATTGTAAACGTGGTTTATAAAATTAAGAATTGAAAAAAAAAACATTATCAATTCGTGTTAAGGACGTTTCGATCATTTATTCTTTTTGATCACCACGTTGTTGACAATAAGTGCAAACTAATGTTGCCGCTTTGTCTTCATTCGTATCTATGATTGATCTACGTAGGCACTCTATCATTGGAGAAATGTTTCGAATTACTCTTGGAATAAACAAAGTACAAACATATTGACAAATGTAATAGAAAAAGAGCTTTATACGTACTGAGAATTGATAAAAATGTGTGATAGTATCGATTTATGTATTACGCCAATACATCATGTAAAAATGTTATTATTTTATGTTATTTATGACAGCGTGTTTACTCAAAAACTGCGCACTGCACTTTAGCAACAAACAATTTAAAAATACTTTATACATATAGTGATGTGTATAACTTTATTAGAGATATTATTATTTAATTTTTGATACACATATATATATATATGTATGTACATGTTGTAAGCAAATATTATAAATATGCATATATATTGTTTAAACAAATATAAAGTGTAAGAATATGAAATGAATTTATGTATGGATATTCTTCTCTTCGCAAGAAGAGAATGTATATTTTATGAAAGTCAAACTGTTGAATATTTATAGCAATATTTTTCGTGACAGTGAAGAGAGTAGATCGAAAACAATCTGCGTAATAAAATCAGTACGGTGACGTGATTCTGAATGTAAAAACAGAGGCCGTTCTCTATATAATACACAATTCCAGTTATCTGCGAGTGCATCCACTTCGACCGGTCGTCTCCACCTGTTATTCTTTTCCGCTCGTTCAATTATTCACATTCAGGGCCGACATGGAATAATATTTAACGGTGGCATCCACGCGTGCCGCATGTCACACCCGACACGTTTGTACGAGTGATATATGTGTGTGTGTATACGTACGTACTTGTGTAGGTGTTCACCTATGAGAAAAATGTTTACGCGAGAGCCAAGTGTAATCTCGCTTTATCGCTCATGCGACGAAAGTGTATAAAAACGCTTATCCTCGTTGTAGTCCTCGCGATGTCGTTCAGGATAGTCGACGCGTTCCGACGTCTGGGTTTGTTGTAACGTAAGTACATCTTAAACACGTAAACGTTTCTAATTGCAACTTGTTACGCGACGCTCTTTGTCTCGCAGCTGTAAACAGAACTTCGCTGCGCGAAGAAGATACGGTTTAACAAGTTATCTCATATTTGCACGAGGATCAGACAGCTTCTTTCTATAATGGTCTATTTTTGAAACGCTTAAATTTTCTTGGTTATTATTTTTGCGGGATTATATAAATCTTTTTATCTTTCCGGCTTGAGTTTTATATTTCCGGGATTTATAACGCATATCCGTCAAACTTGTAGACGTCAAACTCGTCGTGGGGAAAAAATTTGAACTTTTTCAACGACGGGTTCAAAAATAGCTTCAGAACTGCGTTGAAATTCATCTAAACTCTCCCCGGAACTAGAGAGAGAAAGAGAGAGAGAGAGAGAAACGGGTCAGGATTTTTAAATATAATATCGCGTTCTATCGCGGTTTAGAAAGAGATAAGGGTCCCGTGTGCTCTCCTCGCTTTGTACAATAATTTTTCTTTCCTTCATAATTCTTCGCATGTCCCGCCGCTCTCTTTTGTGCTTTTCTTTATTTCGTTTTGCACTTCTATTTATCATAGCTAGATGTTGTTCTTCGACGTAGCCGTTTTCTGGGACAATGCGATTGATCGATGAACGCCGTAATTTCCGGGACAAAAAAAAAGTAAAAAAAAACGCTAATTCTTTTCTGAACTCTCTGGTTGATTCAATATTTACTCTCGAAATTGAAGATAGACTTAGGACAAGGTCCATTATTGATTCTTCTTCCGCAATTGCAGCCTTTGTTCTTGCGGCAAGCACGTTCGTGACAGAGATTAACTTCAACAAATGATCGATTTTAGCAGATCGATACACACACATAGGTATATTAATATATACAGAGACAGACACATGCACACATAAAAACAACAATAGCGATAAGATCACATTAACGATAAGAAGTATAAAATATTTTATAATATACAATAAACATTTGTAAAACTTTTATTCTTCGAACGTGTCTGTTTCCGCACAATTTGCAGCTTATAATCGACGTATTATCACGCGGATCATTTATCTATCGATCGCGCATTTGGAACAATTTCGTTCTTCCGCACGGGATACGCCCTTGTCTTTCAATGCATTCGAATTCCTCCAGGTGTAAATGATCACGTTAACTAATAGTTATCCACGCTTCGCAGACAGAACCAAGTTTCTCCACAACCCTCATTAACGGAAACTAACGCGGAGAAATTCATGCTTGCTGAATCTAATTGATTCGACAAAGACGTCAATTGATTTCTCTTGAATGATGGAGTACCAGGCACGTCCCTTTGACATGGAGACCGTGTTCGTCAAAGCAAAAAAACAGCGAACGAAGAAGTTTCGCGGTATGGATCTGCCGCTCTACACGGTCATCTGGCCAATGATTTACGCGGTGCGAATGTTCGGGTTTGCTCCTTACGACTTTATGCAAGACCGTCTGATGCCATCGAATGTCTATCTGATCTTTACGATAATCTTCGTCACATTGAACAGCTATATAATGTACACAGTGATCGAAAACATTATGGGTGTCAATCAGAATGATCCAATTCTCGGAGGAACGGAGAACTCGAAGGTCAGTGAAAATATTGATGTGTAGGGTTGAGGTGTGTGATAAGATTCAAAGTAATGTGTGAGAAAAGGACAGTTGTAGAACCGGTTGTAGGGTGTTGTTGCAATAAAATTCAGTAACAATCGATTATCCAGACACGTTTCGACTTTATTGATTTAAATCGTCTTCGGTGGACATTCTTAAAATTGCATTTCTTCACTTATGTATGACGATTATCTTGTCTTTAGAAATTCGTCGATACTGAGAATAACCATAATTAGATAAAATAATAGCGTTGTCACAAAGAAATAGATAGGTATCGACGAATTTCTAAAGATGATCGTCATACATAAGTGAAGAAATGCAATTTTAACAATGTCCACCGAAGATAATTTAAATCAATAAAGTCGAAACGTCTGGATAATCGATTGTTACTGAATTTTATTGCACAACACCCTGCAACCGGTTCGAACTGTTCTTTTCTTGCATACTATTTTGGATCGGTGAAAACTTTATTTGTGACAATGTTACGTAAAACATCCAACAACAGACGTAGAAGCGAATTTAAAAAATAAAAATAGAGATCAAGGATTTGAGTAATTTATTTATTTTTGAACAAAGATTAAAAGTTTCGACTTTGACTTATTTTATTTATTTTTTCTTCAACATTTGATCGAACATATAGAATCCATGTGTATGAGAGAAATAATAAGGCCGGTAAGATCCAAGCGCTAGATGTATGTACGTGCACAAAATAATTTAAAAAAATGTAAATATTAAATATCGAATTTAAATGTCGAATTAAATTCGAAAATCTTGATTCGCATCTCATAAATAAGAGGGAAAAATTCATTTAGATTGCATATAAAAACGACTTTTTCTTATTGCACTGTGAATCTATAAAAGGCACGACCTCGGACTTCCCACATTCCGTGCTATAGAATCTAAGTTTCTTAAGAGAATCGAAAACTCGCAAGGCAATGATCGAAATCATTCAGGTGATTTTTAACAACGGCGTGCTGATGTACGAGCTAGGTCTGGTCATGTTAACGAGGCGTAAATTCGTCAGCACCTGGAACGCGCTGCAAGATTACGACGAGAGCGTCAGACAACTCGGCTATCCTCGAAAGGAGACGAGAACCGCGATCGTCGCGTGGATGCTCGCGATCGTCATCACGATCATTTGGGTCGTCGTCAATCGGTCCGGAATGTACGCCTTCTTTGAAACATGGAGCTACAATATGGGATACTTGTTGCCGTACGTCGGCACCTCGATCGCACTCTACAAATTTGTGGGGATGGCGTTTTTTCTAGGCCAGCGGTTTCATCATCTTAACACGATTGCGATGAAAACTCTGCCGCCGGCGTCGACGAAGAGTAAAAGCGCTACCACTCTCAGTAGAAAGGTAAAGGAATTAAGTTTACAGCACGCGCGTATAATTTATAAATTTTAATATCTTAATGTATATGTGTATATATATATATAATTTATAATCTTTTTTACAAATAGTTTTGCAAACAGTTAGAGACAAACTAATGTAATTTTTTATAAATCAGCAATAATGAAAAATTGTGATATAAGATTTGTTTTGTAAAAGACCATACTGAGTCTGCACAACGATCTGATGATCGCGGCGGAAAACTTTGAATCGCTGTATTCGTGGTCGCTGCTTCTTTGGCTTGCTAATCTCTGTCTTCACGCCGTCAGTAACATATACTTCATCATTACGTGGCTACTTATACAATCGTGGAAAGACATTTTTTTGCCGCTGATCTACTGCTTAGGAACCTGGTTGGTATCGTTTATTTATCAGCTTCTCTTACTCAGCGCCGCCTGCGACTACGCCTCTTCTCAGGTAAACTCATGTTTTTATTTCTTTGATATGCAAAAGAGAGAAAAAGACAAAGAGAGAGAGAGAGAGGAAAAGAAAAAGAAATAAAAATTTTTCTTAATATAAATTACCGTAGTAAAAAAAGCAAGAATTAAGACAATATTATAAATAGTGATCTAAAATTTATTATTGATAAAAAAAAATTATAGCATAATAGATGTTTTCAATACAAGAAAAATTGGAATATTGTAAAAAGTATAAATATACGGTGCGGCCTGAATGAAGAATTAGGAAACGTTCGTCTTGTTTCAGGCTAATTGTATGGCGCCGATTCTTATCGAATGGCAAGTCAGACTGATGAAAAAGAATGAGGTGAGTGTAGAAATGAAACCATTGTTACGTAGCGAATATACATTCAAGCTTTTTTTTATTGCGAACAGAAACTACGTTTGATTCTACGAAGATTTTTCTCACCTTTCACGAATGCAATACTAACAATAAGAATAATATTATAATATCTATTCCCTTAACACTAATCTATTCCCTTACGAAGAACGCGCGTCATTAATTTTTTTGCGTCTCATAATGCCGCTCTTATCGCATTTACATGTAAAAAGCATTTTAACGACTGCAATCTGCATAAAGACTTCTCTTCGAATGCAGGAACATACCGAGTCGTTGTTGCAATTTCTAAATCGAAGGCTCAACTTCTCCGCCGGCGGTTGCTTTTACGTGAACTTGCCCTTATTACGTTCGGTAAGTAACGACCGAGAGAATATAAGCGAGACAATAATACGTAATATTAATTTTTGTAATTGAGTTTGTGTAATTCCGCGGTAATTGCAACTTTTACATTTTTTATAGTGAAATTTGATTTCTTTAAAATTTCACATCGGGCGTATCATTTAACCCGTAAAGCACGCATGTCAAAGAGATTAAAGTGATTAATAACAACAAACGCTTCGCGAAAGTAATAAGACTTGCGATTTACGTTATTCTCGCAAAGATTGCAAGTAAGTATAAATCACCGTGTCAAAATTTCAAAATCGTTAAATTATCCAGATAATTCCTCGGAAAAATTGAACACGTTTCCCACGATGCGATGTTATCACGCTAGTACGACTTAAAGAGGAGCGCGCAGTCGCGCTCGGGTTTCCAAGACGCTGACGAGTTAATCAAAGCAATTAAAGTGAAAATATTGTATTTCAAGTGAATTTTATTTTTATAAAAAACACACTTGACACACAGACGTCGTATTATGTAAAGACCAGAACATAAAATATATAACAGAGCGATATACACGTAATGATAATTATATCAAAACATCAAAGCAATTAAAGAAGAAATATTGTGTTTTCTGTTAATGTTATTTTTACGTAAACTTACCGCACATGATGTGTTACATAATTTACAGAACGTAAAATACGTAATACAAAACATAGTAATAGTAATTATGTCAATGCAATACGCACACACATTTGTGTGTTGTGAAATAGAAAAATTGCTTCGAAAAAAAAATAAATAAATAAATCTAACAACTGAACAATTTCTGATGCCACAGACGGCAACAATACAAATGCGATTTTTTCTTGTTATATGAAATAAAAATTATATGTGTATGTACATAGATTTTTCTTGCTCTTGTATAATTCATCGTCACGACCTGATCTTTATGTCGAATCAACGCTGGCCGTTCTTGTTACGTGACGAAGGTAAAGGTTAATTGGGTCCCGTTGGTTCGATATTCGAGCGAAACTTTGAGAGACGCTTTAAATGCCGATGTAAACGCCGTAATTACGCGCGGCTCTGGAAAACGCGATCTTTGAGTTTGGTTCTAGATTTCGCAAACTGAACGAAGCGACACGTCTATTCCACCTGTGCGAGATGAGATGCTTTGACACAAAATTTTACGAGTTATATACATATATATGCATGTATCGGCTTTGAGGAATATATCTCCGACCCTTTTGACCGTCAAAGTTCTCACGACAGTTTCCGCTTAGTTTCGACCGGAGAAATATTGGATTTAACAACAGTCTCTATATAATTTCTGTACACGTACGACGCTCTTAGATAGAGAATTTACGCGTTTCAATGTATCATAAAAATGACAATTAACAATCGGTGATCTCGGCGATTATTGATTGTTGTGAAATTTACTCGAATATTGAAAAGAATGAAATGTTATTTTCAGATTGCTTCTTTGACGACCACATATCTGGTAATACTACTGCAATTTCATGGAGGAGACAATTGAATTGGACAAAGAAATTGTAAGATCGAGAAGTAATAGACATAAAATATTGAATCTCTGTATAGCAAAAAAATAGTTTGCAATATTTATTTACGCTATTTTGTAATTAATATTGAACTAAATATGACATTTTCTTGGATGCGCATTACAAAACAAAGTTTATACATACGTGCAACATAATGTCTGTATAAGTATCACAATTGAATATAAATTATGTAAATCAAGTGTAACAAAAGTGAAAATGTATTAAATGATTATATCTGCTTTAAACTACTTTTTCTTAGATGCGCTCGTGCAAAGTAGCAATAATGTTGAACGCAACATTTGCATGTGAATTGTGCCATCACTGATTACGGCAACCTGTTTTGAATTCGGCGTTCAAAAGAAAAACCCGCTTTTTCTGAAGTGCTTATAAAGCAAACGTTAATTTCAATTCACACACAGTATCAACATATAACACAAGCGAAAAAGATAAGCGAAAAAACTTGATGATTGTTGTAATTTTTTCTGAATTTCACAATCTACAAATTTGCGAGTGACACGTATAAAAAAATTCTCTTGATTAATAAATGTTAATTTCAATTTAAAGAGTTCTTCTCTTTATTTTGTAGCACAAAATGCACAATTTACAAAGTAATTTGATTGCGTTATGTATCGCAATAAATTATCGCTTATTGTATGACGCGATGTTCCAAGAAAATTAACAATTTCATAAATTATAAAATTTTATTGCAAAATTTACGTTGTAATTTACTTCGGAGCTTGTTCAATCTTGCGTGTGCGATGATTTGTCGATGATTTATCCATTAAACTGGAAAATTGTTTAATACAACTCTGTATTGCTTGCGGTTTACTCGAATTGCAGTTTTCGAAACGCATATATATAGTGTGTCACATAATTATTATTACTCTCACAAAATACAGATAAAGAACAAAAAGTAAAACATAAAATCTAATAAATAAAAATAAATAAAAATAATATTGCATGTTTGATTCTATACTTTACATTTTCTTTCTGCGTATACATGTATTTGAGATTAGATTTTGTGTGATTTTATGTAAATAATTTTTTATAAACAGTCTCTCTCTTCTTAAACAAATCTTGCCGAACTCGTTTTTGTTATTGTTGCTTGTGCAGTTATCATAATCATAAGTCGTTCATGCGGTTAATCAAGTTTTTTTTTGAAATTCACATTTCAACCACATTCCGTAAAAACACACTATCTGCATCTTGCAACTTTTCTCGGAACTTCTTGCGGTAATCAAGCGTCGTTTATGATGCGCGAAGAATTTTCAATGATATTTCAGACGTACCACAGAATTTTTGCATACATTAGACCGTCGCAAAGAAATGATAAATAATTTGGATAGCATTCACATGAAATTTTTGGTCATTTATTTAGTTATATATCTTCGAAATTACTAGAAATTTTTTCAATTCAGTTTTTTTATCAACGCGGAATCGTTTGAACTTTCGGTTCAAAAAAAAGCAAACTTGAAAAGATATTGATTTTTTGCGTGAAAGTCGGGTCTCACAGATTCCCAGTCTGTCCAACGCTCGTAACCGGAATGAAATATAATTTAAACTCTTTCACAATAAATGTCGTCCAGTGGCAATATAATTTTATGAGCTTATTATATTTTTTCACTTTTACATTCTGTTTTCTTTTATATGTTTTGATTTTCTATTATTTTTTATTTTTTATTGAATAAAGTGTGTTATTATTATAGCAGGAACCGAGGTCGTTCTCTTTGCTTTGTCAACTATAGCTCTCTTTTTGAGATAGTAATCCAAGCATTGACATGAATCTTATCGTTATTACTGGTTGTTAAAAGTTCCATATTTATCTCTCTCTCTTTCTCTCTCTCTTTGTTTTTTTTCTGTTTTTTTTTCTCTTTTTTACTGTCGTATAATATGGTGTCTGTTTCACCGCAGCGTACGTAAACTGCGAATCATAAAGAGGACTTTACGATATATGGTGACTGCGAAGAGTGTCGCTTTATAAACCCGGCAAACTGAGTTTATCCCGCATAGCGTTTCTGTGTCGCCCGGCTTTTCATTGCTATCGACACATTTTATTAGTTTACGTCGCGGATAACATGAAGCGGAACAACTTCGCGTACGTGAAGACATCGATCGACGTGCGTTGCTTTCAGACGGCAAAGGTCTAGACAGTGACAAATAACGACCCCCTTTTGGCATTAAAAGCAAAAAACGAGAAAAAGATAAAACAGATGAATGTAAAAATCGCAATTTTCACATTCAAGTCTCTCCCTTTTCATACATTATTTCTCTTTTATTACATTCTATTACTATAACTACCGATATTATTAATTACCGAGTAAGTTTTTTCTCTATTTGTGAAATATGTATTTCCAATCGAGAAAATATCTTTATCGGCTTTTCCGAGCTTAACCAAAAGAACGATCGGTATGTCGAAAATATAAACAGAGATTCAATGTTGTTAAAGGTACATATAAAACAAAAAATATATATGTACGTATTTAGCTTGCGAATTGCACAGTAACAATTCTAAAATTCATAAGATGCCACTTAGCATTACACATACATGATTTATATAGTACCCATTTAATTCCCTAATGAAATTAATTTACACGTTAAAAATATACATTTTGCATCCAATGTAAAGTCCTATCCTTTTTTAATTAAAAAAAAAAAAAAAAAAAAACAATTACATTCTGTATATCTATTTTTCACGGCGAATATAATGTTTCGTGTGAATTCACTTGAAGGTTGCAAAATTGAGAGAAAACTTGACATTGACAAAGAGAATTTAAATTTGTATGAAAAGAAGTTTTCACAATGAATAAACTAGAAGCTCCGCACAGACATCTACTATTCTTTTTGTATTTTATTCCCGGTTCTCTATATCTTACGTCCGTAATTTTGATGTAAATTTTAATGGTTTTATATTACGAGAGAAACTACAACGTTGGTTAAATGAAGTGAAGTCCACTTCTCATTGTGTAATACAGCGTTGCACGGTATTACGTGCGGCGTAGGAACTTCGTAATTAACTACGTTAAATTAGGATAGAATTGTCAAAGGAACGAAAACGCATTATCTCGTATCTCTTAGAGACGCACTCGTCAAAAGGTGGAAAGAGCTTGATTTTATATTAAAAACGTATGTGATATACTGAACTTGTGCTCTCTACGGCAAATTCTCTACTGCAGATAATATTCCTCGTCGTCTACGCAGATGTTGCTTGCAGATGTAAATTTCACCAGTTTGTGCCAAAAGCCGCGGAATAACAAAGAAGGAAGGGAAAGGGGAGAGGGGAACTCGCGTCGCGACGCTGGCAAAGGAGAGCCAAGAGTGCTGTTTTCCAGGCAAACGTCAAGTTCGGCAACGTCTCAAAGAGAAAAGTTATCTTCATATTCCCCATATTTTGTTATTTCGAGAGACAGATTGGTTGGGATTTCTTAAGACCCAGTGGCAAATATGAAAAGTGTGTATTCCCCCTCCAAAAAAAAAATTCTGTCTTTCTCTTTTATTGTTCGCAAAAAAAAGTAATATGAGGAGGTATCCAATATTCGTGGTAATATTCCGCGACTCGTCGTCAAAGGAGAACGTTGTTACACAAGCAATATTATATATAGCTTGATAAAAATTGCGAACACGAAGCCGTTTGCTTACGAGTTTAAAGGTGTTGTAGCTGCTTTCTATCTAGCGAGCTTTATATCACGTTGGCGTCATTGAATTTGCATAGTATTGCTTCATTACATCCGACGGATAATCAGGAACTCCAACCTGTGCGTTCACAAATTTTAAGGAAAAAAACACCACAATGTGCTCAGATAAAATTAAAATTCTTGTTATTATTTCTAAAGCTGTTAATATTTTTTTTTTTGCTTTACATAATTTTTTTTTGTTTGTAACGTCACGTTACACACAAAGCGACACGCAACACGTATTATATCTCGTGTCGTGCTTTCGTTTTGTTTCCATCTGTATTCCAAGACAAGTCTTAATATTGCTTTTGTATAGGAACTGTTGCATGCTCGCACACAACACAGTCAAAACAATTTTTTTTTTTTTTAGACAATCTCCTTTTTTGTGAACAGAAAAGCACAGAAATATTTGAAAAACAATGGCGAAACACGGAGGTATGTGAAGCGCGCGCTCAATATTCAAAAGAATTTCGCCACACATGTGTATCTCAAAACGAGAAGAGAGAAAATAGAACGGGGTTTTTCTACTTGTTAAAATGCGCTCTCACAAGGAGACGAGTCCAGCACCGAAAGGAAAGAGAAGGCGGAATGTAATAATTCATGTCCTCGGAGATTATATTTTTACTGAATATTCCGACACACTTTCCAGATATTCCGCCCGTTTAACCGTAACACCGACCGCGTTACCGAGGGTGTTCAATGAAACATATTTTCACAGTTTTCTTTCGTAATATTAGTTTTCTGTTTTACTTTTACCTGGGGAGGGGTCTGCAAAAATATCAAAAAAAAAAAACACACTTTATCAAACTCTTCTTTTTAATGATCCGAAAAACAGAGAGTTTACACGCCGTTTCACTTGCCGAAACACTTTCTCCGTTCTTTATTTCGCGCTCACTGGAATGGGCGTGCTTGAACAGCGATTTAGAACTTTAGTGGCTTTTCAAAAAAAATAAAACTACAAAAAAAAAAAAAAAACAAAAACGTGCCAACGAGGTGACACTTTGTTCGCGAACGATATTACGATGCACGAGCGACGACGACCGCAATACCGAAGAATAGGAAAAAACGAGCGAACTCTTCAAGCAGTCGGCAATGTTACCACGACGCGACGCGTTGCATCTATTTTCCACACCATTGCTCCGGAAAATTGCTCCTTTCGTCGGTTCGCGCCATTCTCTCGCAAAGCAGATGCACATGAACTACTTATTTCCAATAAGTAGTTCGTTCCTTGCACGCTCCGCGCGGTTCTGAACGATCGAACACGCGTGGGGCACACGGAAAAAAAGTGGCTCATATAAGTTGAAACAACGTAATATCTTTCGAATCCCATTGTACTCGCACAGGTGTCTTAGAAAAATTACTTTATTAAAAAAATAAAATTCTTCAAAAAAATAAACTGTTTTCTGATTTTTATTGAAGAGGTCGTTTTACATTTAAATTTAACAAGTTTTAACTGAGAAATAATTGT